GTAATAATGAGATGAAGAAGGCTGGGAATCTGCGGGCCCAGCACCTTCGGACATTTTTATACCCTACAGCACTATGTGTTTGGGATATTATAAGTTTGATTGGGCCAAATATTATGTAACATCTCGTAGTATTGGTACCCGACATATGAAACTATATATGAATCTTCCTATCTCGCCGAGCTGAGTCGATCTAACTATGTATGTCCGTCCGTCTATCCATCTTAATTTGTAATCACCTACAGGTCACAATTATGGCTCGATCCTCGCGAAATTCCAAAAATTGAGGTTGGGATAAGGGTCAGAATATAAGCCTATTGTTTTTGGAGATGATCGCAAAATATTTAGGGATTGAAATGGACCAAAAACAGAAAATTTTCCTGATTTCCTGAGGCCACAATAAAAAACCAATCGACTCGAAATTTTGCATGGAGTTATAGTTTAGGGCTGGGCAGAGGCCTACCAAGTTGGATGGTCATCGGAAAAATAAACCATAACTTTTTTTGTCAAAAATACGAAAATACCCACTAAATCGCGAATATTTTTGATCCCGGCTAAATCACAAATACATTAAAAGTCCACTTCTGACCGTTACAGTGATGCTGATAGCTAAGATATCGGATATATGTATGGTAAAATAGATACAATATATATTTAAAAGAAGTAGATCTTAGTTATTCCGCTTGTAAGTCAAAGACCACTGTACAGATTTTCACAATTCTCATCAACTCGGAATGGTCGCTCGCCAGAAAAGAACAAATTCTAAAAAAAAAATATTAAATTTTTTAATTTTTTTTTTCAAATTTTTATCGCATGCGTTTTTTTTAAATTTGACTAACAATTTTGAATTGTAAATTTTCTAAAGTTTTTCTACACCCAGCAACACTATGAGTGGGGGGTATTATATACAGGTCGCAAATATCGTCCGATCCCCACGAAATTTTGCATGGAGGTAGGGTTAGGGTCTGAATTAAAGCCTATTGTCTTTGAAGATGTAAATTTATAATTTTAAATGGGCAAAAAAAAAAAACTCCTGATTTTACACGGAATTACATATGATAAGAGAGTTAAGAACAGGGAAGAAGTCTGGCATTTAGGATGACCATTGGATTATATTTAGCTGTAAAATGGACCACAACTTTTGTGTGAAATTGTTTTGAAATGAATAGTCAAGTGAAAAAGCTGTAAGATCAGCCGGGCCGAATTTTGAATAGCCTCCATAATTTGGAACGAATCTGGCAATTTGCAAAAAAAAAAAAAAAAATAAAATCAGCTAAAATCTTGAAAATACCGAATATAGCCGTTGTATTAGGGTCCATACGACGACGTTATATTAGGGTCTATACTACTTCATTTCGTTCGGATCTAGAGCGATTTCCACAGACGGACGGACATCGCTTAATCGACATAGACTTTTATGCTCATCAAGAATATACTTTATGGGGTCTAAAATGTATATATCGAAGTGTTACAAACGGAATGACAAACTTAATATACCCTCCATGCTATGGCCAAATGCAGATCAATGTTTTGCACAGATGTGTGCTTCATGTGTAAGCAGTTATATTTCTAAAAGAATGTGTAACAAGGTTAGACCCTATATTTTTGGTTCTTAAGGTTCTTAGGCACAAATTCTAATCGAAATAGCCTTATTTTCTGGGTGTTATTTTTTTTCCTATAAAAATATCAATTTATGATAGCCCACACATTTATGCAACAGTTCGAGCTTCTTGGAATAACATGGCATCTTTGCATAAATTAGTGCAGTTGCCTCTTTGGCATAACCAATATAACCTTGTCATTATTACTTAAGAAATTTTAATTTAATTTTAATTTATATATGCCGCCAAAATAATTTAAGACCTAAGTAATTAAATTTTTTTTCTGAAACGTTGAAATATATCGAAATCGATTTTTGAATCTTTTTCCGATTCTCTTATTATCAAGAGTTCGAGAGCTACCAGTTCTCACAAAAAGTTAGCTTTAAAAAAGAGAGCAAATATTCTATGTTTTCACATGTGTCTTTTATTTTGCATACTTGTACTTCCACATTTGTTTCATTTGCCTTTCTATCCCTTTATCTACACATCCATCCATCCATCCGTTCGTTCGTTTGTCCGTCCGACCATTCATCAATTCGCTTGGATGTCTGTATGTCTATCTGTTCACCGCCAGTCTATTTGTCGTCTGTCATTTTGCAAGCTTGTAGCAGAGCTTGAGAACAATACTTACAAGCCGCTTATTTTAATGACGATAATAATAGATCATCTGCATTGTTTGACAGTGTCTTATTGTCGTTGTAGTGGTAGTTGTAGTATTTGTTTTAGATGTATTTGTATGTTGGCATTTGTGGAGCTTAAATGAATGACGGTCTGTCTGTCTGTTTGCCTCTACGTCTATCTGAATCAACTGAGCAAAGGAGAAGAAAACGAAGCAATGCACAAAATGATTCAATGACTGACTGACTTGTTTTTTTTTTTTTTTTTGTTACTCGGCTTGTTACGTTGTTTGCTAAGCCAAGCAGGGAAGAAATGTAAGATACAAAGAAGGGTGGGCAGGGGTGTTGTGGGATGGTGGGCCATTCAAGCAAAACTATTTGCATTCATTCATTCATTAATTCAGTCTTTCTAATCATTGTTATTATTATTATCAGCATCATTACAGCAGGACCAGGAAACAGTGATTCCGTTGCTCCATTTGTTCAAAGGGAAACAATTTTGAATTTGAATTCTTGAGTGACCTTTGAGGTCACATGAATATTGTTTTGTTTTTTTTTCTGGAATTGAAGGTGAATAAATTATGTTGTTTCAAAGCGGCAAATGTGTTCAAAATGATATGATAGAGCTAGAAGGTTTAATGTACAATGGCTGAAACTTGTATAGAACTATATTAACATTTTTTGTTCAAACATTTGCTGGAGAAAAATGTTTAGCTGATTTAACCTACATTCCCTTGTCCGTAACGCTGTAGATGGAATTTGTGGTCGGATTATCAGAGAAGTGGACTTACATATCCAAACGGTAAACCTTTTTTTTAATAATCACGAGGAAAATCCAGCAGATTATGGAAGTAGAGCTAAAAAAGAATACACGTGTATCCACGTTTTGAAAGTTTACATCGCAAAATAACATAAATAGAAGGTGCAAGTTCTACCCTATCCACAGTTTTGGGAAATCTTTGGATTAATATTCCTTGGTAATTTTTCTTTTAAGGCATGGAATGTCTTCGGCAATATATTAAACCTCAAACGAGTCAACAATGGGGTCTTTTTGGTCCTTTTTTAAATATGGTCCTAGAAGACGTCAAGATTCTAAATCTTACCTAAACGCCAGAAATGCATATACAGGGTTAGATAAAAAAACAGCAACAAAGTCAAAGGCCATACTTTTTACATTTTTTTTTTTTAATTTTATTGAATGAAAGCAAAAAAATGTCGGAAACAGCACCATATTTTAGAATAAGTTTAGATTTGTTCGAATTGGTCACCTTTGGCCTTCAAACGGTCAATGAAACCGTCACACGCTGCCCAAATGTTACTCTGCGGTATTTTGTCCCATTCCCGGCGAAGCGCTTGCTTGAGTTAATCGACACTTTGGTGTATTTTAGTGCCAACCTTGTTTTCCAAAATACTCCAGACACAATAGTCCAACGGATTGGTATCCGGATATTTTGGTGGCCATTGTGCGCTGGAAATGAAGCGAGGAACCTCATTTTGTAACCATTCTTGGGTGGCGCGTGCTGAATATTTTCGCGATAATATTCGATTAATTCGAGCGAAGAGCGCCCATCAGCTGTTATGGCGGCCCACACCATCACCATGGCCGGCGCTTGAGTTTTGGTGGCCAACCGAAGGCGAATGTGCACATTTTCAGCTGACCTCTTTGGCAAGTAAAAATGATCATTTTGTTTGTTGACATTCGTTGGACAACCAACAAATGTTTTCTCATCGGCGACGAAGAAAACCAAATTCGGCAGTTCACCACTTTCGGCCAAGCGAAGCAACACCTTAGCTCTTTGGGGTCTATTTTCATTCCGTCGCGGTGTAAATTCTTGCACTTTTTGGCCTTACTTCGACCTCATTTTTCAATATTTGCCGAATGGAAAATTGTGATATGTTCAGCTCACGAGCCATTTGTGGCCACTGCGACGCGGGTTTCGAACAAGTCGCTTCTTTACTTTTCGAACCATTTCTGCTGACATTTCTGTTTTTTTGTTCGACCATTTCCTTGACGTCGGGCTACCAGTATCACGGTGACGAGCGATGGTACGAGAACACAAAAGATTTATTCACATTTAAATGCTGGAGGGCTCTAACGATAGTCACTTGTGGTTGTCCAGCTAAATATAAAGTAATCACACTATCACGCTTAAATTCCATCACAAATAACCTTTATTCTGGAAATTCACACCAAAATACTTTTGTACGCCTCTAAACAATGTAATGAGCTGTCACCGGAATAATTTTAAAAGCTGTCGGACGAGTGGCTTAAAAATGACAGCAGTCTGAATTTGGTTGCAGTTTTTTCATCTTACCATGTAATGCATGAAAAAAATATATAATTTCATTTTAACGAATTCGTATGAAATATTGGTTCACAGAGTTCTGGCAGTACTAAGTCCCCCCATAGACCCTTTAAAACACAGTGCACTTCAAGTATTTCTTTTGAGTATTTGTGTGTGTGTGTGTGTGCATGGCTGTGTCTGTTTTCGAGTCTTATTCTCTTTTGTGTGTTGCAGGTTTTTAGATCTACTGTAAAAAGGGTTGCATCCATCCATTCATTGTCTATTGTTATGGAGTTAAAATCATTTGGCAACAACAACAACAAACAGACATCATCATGAAATGACGAAATACATTTGCGCTCTCTGTTCGCTTCTTATCTGCTGCAGAAAAGCACAGCAGCAGCAGTAGCTGCAGCAACAGACAAATGATTATTCACAATTATTCCTTTTCATTTCAATAGTTTGCTAATTAAACTGTTTTTCTTGGTTTATCTTTTCAGGAAAATGTTCATCGGTGGCCTTAGTTGGCAAACAAGTCCAGGTAAGTTTTCGACTCAGTATTGCAAAATTTCAACATTGTTTTATTCGTCATGATTTTGCAAGCAAAGTGTGAAGTATTTATTAGTACAGGTATTTGAATTATCATGAGCCCCTTTTTTTGCACGAGTGAAATCCATTAACATGAGCATCGATCTCAACTTGCTATCAGCTACAGCAAAATGAAAATAAATTCCGCGATCATTTAAACAACAGAAATCTTCCACTTTAAAATGCGGTGATTGACTTTTGGGTCTTGTCTTGTCGGCAAATTAAATTTTAACGAATTTGCAACATTTGCACATGACACTGTGGCCAATGTAGTCTGTCTGCCAGCTATGCAGACCTGACTATGCCTTCCGATCCGATCATCGAAAATACTGAGAAAATATTTTCCTTAATTTGCAAAATGCTGTCGGCTGGCAGTTTGGAAGAGCCCTGCTAGCTGCTGAGTGAGTCTGCTGCCCGTTGTGTGCATTCATTTGTTCAATCGCCTATTTGTTACGTTCTGCTACGCATGATTTATTCCGAAATGAATAGTTTTTAGTTTGTCGGGGCTTGTTACCCACTCCATGGCATGAAAACGCTGCTGTTTTGTTTGCCTCTTGTAGTCGAGTGGATGATGCATCGTTATTAACTGCACAACAATGCCGCATACTTAGGTGTATGTAGCTGACGATAAGACTGAAAACACAACGGACGGACGGAGAGCCCAAAACAAAACAGACAACACGTTGGACATCCCAAAAGATTCTGAAATTGATCAACAGGGCCGCAGCTATAGATTGCCAACAAATTGAATGAATGCAACAAACACAGCAATAGAAATGGAGGCACGCAACAGCGGAATGGCCAACCCAATGGCCAGACAGACAGCCAGCAGGGCAACGAGACCGGCCGACCAACCATCTAGCCAACCAGCCAACAAACCGGCGACAAATTATTGCCGTTCATTATTCGAGTTGAGTTTGGACCACAGCGCCATTAGTTTTAGCGAATCTTTTTGTTGTTCGATTATGGGCTAAATGAACAAATAGAACATTCACTTGCACACACACACACACACTCGTCAGCCATCCATGCATATGGCACTTTCAGATAATCATGTAAAAAAATCAACATGTGTTTCTAAAATTTTTAATAATTTTCGGTGCTGATTTGTGCAAAAAAAAAAAAAGAAATAAAAAAATGGGAGAAAATATTTCGTTTAATTTTTCCTAGTAACCCGTCAAGGAAATCACAATAATAGGAACAGGTCTGGCAGATTGAGTTAAGATTTTTTTCAGTTATAATTTTAGCAAAGGTGATTTTTACATTCACCGCCCGGATTGTGACAAATGAAGGAGGTTGTAGGAATTTTCGGTGTTAATTATCATCAATATTAGTTTTGCATGGGTCGAGCATCTTAGAAATGTAGATTTGATTTCGAACACGTTTCTAACAACAGAGAAACATGTTTTATTGTGTTAGAAAATGTAATTTATTTGAACATATTCATATAGTTCTGTTCTGAGACACCTGTATGAGTCTCACCTTAATTGAATTGTTTTATGGTGAGATATATTTCTTTAAATGTCTACATGAACAAAAGGTGAAATGAAAATGACCAGTACAATAATTTAAAGGGACAATACAATATTTTACAAAATACTTTGTAGCATCATATTTTCTAGAGTAGAAATTCTAAAAATTGTATGTTTTCATGAATAGATTGATGTGGTTAAAGAAAAACTGAATTAAAAAGGGGTTCCTGGTCGGGCGGAAATTTGTTTGAAATTATTGAATAAATGGTATAGAACCTTAAAACACAACAAGGTTTCGGAAAACATTATATCTGGAATTTTATCGATGTTATAAAAATAATAATTAAGAGGTCCAAATTTGAAAATTCTTCAATGTTCGTATGTCTCAATCCGATGTAAATGTGGAATACACTGGTTCCCTCATTTTGGTGCCTTCCCTACAAGCGGGGACGAAATCCATTATTTAGTCTAACAATTGCAAAAATGTCCAATATTGGCTCAATCCTTCTGAATACACAAAACCTCGCATGTCTCAATATTTTTATCGACGTCAAAATTTTTGAAATTTGAAATAAGTCACATAAAGAACGTCCACGGTTTTGTCCAAACGTCGTTATGACTCTACATTTGCATAAACCTAGACCTGATGAGAAAATGAACAATCTTAGAAAAATCTTAAAAAAAAAACACTGGGCAACCCAAAAAATAATCACGGAAAAATTCAGTAGATTACGAAAATAGAGCTAAATCTAAGAATAGAAGACAAATGTATTGGGGTTTTAAGGTTTACATTCATTGGAAACTATGGCCAAGACCCTCGAAATGAACAACATTTGGGGGTATTTTTATACAAGAGATTTGCCAAAACGTGGAACTATAAGGATAATTTTTTGTAAGAAGCCTTTGTACACGATAAGAACTTAAAATATGAAAATTTGGTTAATGTAAATGGAAAAACGGAAAAACTACTTGAAATCGATGAATGAAGTTTTGATTAAAATATGTTGTCAAACTGATGCATTTTGAGCACTAAAAAGGCTTTACACTAACTGTTGGATCGAATCTAAAATCTTAAAGTGCAATTTTGAAGGGCACTTACTATATGGTACATAAGGAGTACATAAAAGCTAGGAAGTTATTAAAGAGAGTTTACAAATCAAAATCTAGCATTTTTGATCAGAATATTTGGAATTAAATCCTAGGAAGCCATAAATGTTTTCAACACAATCTAAGGTTTGGAAATCCTCCTCTTTTTTCACATTTTTTTAGAATTTTAATTATTTAAAATCAGACCTTCGAAAAACTCGCTCGATTTTGTAAAAACAGTGAAACTCACTCGAATTCCAGCGAGGGCGCTCCTGGGAGCAGAAAAAAAGTAGAAAACTCATTTTCTCATGTCACTCGAGTAGGATTGAGCATATATTCCTCGTTTTCGAGTGGCAGCATGCCATCGTTGTTTGTATTAAAAAAATCTGTTTATAATGTAGCTAAAATCATCAAAATACCGAATATAGTAGGGTGGTACCATGGGGGTTATAAAACGTGGACCTGCACAGATAATTTTTTGATATAGGCTGTAGTATCCTTTACGAACTTCAAATGGGAAATTTGAAACAATTCCCATAAACAATGTCGCTAAAATCATCAAAAACCGCATATCGGGTGGTACCGTTATATGGGGCCTATACGAAGACGTAGACCTACATGGCCCATTTTCAATGCCAAAAGTCCTGCAGACATAATACACATTTGAGTAGAATTTTATCAACCTACTTCATTTCGTTCGGAAGTTAGAGTGATTCCCACAGACGAACAGACGGATAGATGGACGGACATTGCTAAATCGGCATAGAATTTTATGCTGATCAAGTATATTTATACTTTGTGGGGTCTAAAATATATATTTCGAGGTGTTACAAACGGAACGACAAACTTAATATACCCTCCATACTATGGTGGAGGGTATAAAAATAAAAAAAAACTGCTCATTTCCACTTCTAGAGAAAACTCTTGATCTGTTTTGTGTGATTCTGCTCGCATACTAATTTTTTTAAACAGGAGTGACTCAGGAGTACTTCCACACAAAAAGAGTGAAATGTAAGTCTCCATAAAAAAAACTCCTCAAATCTTTGCTCTGTTTAACATTTTAACCCTTTCTGGGAGAGGTACTAGGAAGAGTGGCCTGAAATTGTTCATTTCGCTTCTGGCCTAGCACTCATACAAATATTAGGATACTCCCTTCCAGAGTTATCACTAGCACCAACCTGGGAAAATATTTTTAAAAGTTCAACCGTCTTGTCCGAAAGATAATAAAGATGTTGGTAATATAAGAGATAGATAGGAAGGGTTTATAGTACACTTAGCAGAGATGTCTGCTTAGCCAGGGAATAGTTCTAGCAAATTTATAGATGATGACGGGATCTATGTCTGAGATGAACGTTAAAGTTTCTATCTCTCACCTGCCATATAATCTGCATCGGTAATTGGATAACATGGGACATACGCATAGAAGATGTTCACCTCTTCTTCATCTTCACATAATCGGCAGAAGTCATAAGGACAGATATCAGGTACCTCTTTCTTCTTGTTGATATTACCGGCCAGCTGGTAATATCGCCTAGGATAGCCTCCAACCGGTCTCTAAGTACCATTTTATTAAAGCTTATTTGATGATTTTTTGAAGTAGCTGACATAATAGATTATTTGTGGTTTACCAGTCTCCTCAGCTGGAAGATTCGTCCACTGAGACCCGCCTCAGACTAATTCATTATTTCAACTAAATGTTTATGACCTGGAACTTAATGCGTATTTCTTGCAGCCAGTAATGGCATTTGGTCACTGGTCCTGTTATGCCATTGCTTAGACCTTTGACCATTTCGACTGCCTTCTAAGTTGCAAGAATCTTTCATGAAAAACCCCCAAGCCCGTGCCTTCATCCATCTTGGAGTCGTCTGTATATAAAGTCAGACCATGCTGGGGAAGTTCGCCACCAGCCAACGTGCCCTTACAGGTAAAAAAAGGACACAATATATCGAATGTAGCTTCGGCTGTGTGACATGCAGCGCCTTCCTGTAGAAACCGAATGTCGTCAATATCCTCTTCTTAATTTTTTGTGAAAAAAAATCGTTCAACAAGTCTCGATAACGCAAAGGTCACTACTTGCTCATTTTCAAAGAAAAAGTGCCCAATTATACGTCTGGACCAAAATCCGTACTAAATAACTTGATTACATAAGGAGCGTTGGTAAACCGTATACACAACCATATTCTTTTAGCCGAAGGATAAAACTACTTATCCTGCACTAGTTGAGAAAAAAATGTTTAAATGGCGGACCCTGCTGATGTTAGCAGGCTCTGCCGAGGTTGTATTGGTAGCTGATGACCTGTTCTTGTTTAAAATAATACCTTAAGAAATCTTCCTCATCAATAATGGTGCTAATGTTGCTTTATTGAGAGAACGCTCCTAATGGCCGGGAAACGAA